AAAATGTTTCAATTCAAAGTACTGCTAAGGGCACATAAGTATTTGTGATGTGTGCTGTGTGCATAGGTACTCCCCAACAAGTGGTGACTCAGATCATCAGAGGACAGCCTGTGTCCACTGCAATCTCTGCCCCTAATGCCGTCTCCTCAACACCTGGGCAGAAAGGATTACCTTCAGGAACGTCCACTGCAAATCTGCAGTCTTCAGCCTCACAGTCCCCTCGCCCCCAGCAAGGACAGGTGAAGCTAACCATGGCTCAGCTTACTCAGTTAACACAGGGCCACGTAAGTAACGCGACTTCATTTTTAACTTTAGAGGTGATCTTATTTATACTTGCTGTAAGTTTAAAAGCATGCACTTATTTTCAGATATTAAAAATGTACTTATTTTAAGAAATGGTTGCTTTCCTAGAGTTAAAGAGAAATACTTCTTTTTTATTATTATTATTTATGCCTATAGCACCTAATCTTCCTAGACGGTCTCCTATCCAAGTACTAACCAGGCCTGCTTAGCTTCCGAGATCAGACATTGGGCTTGTTCAGGGTGGCATGGCCGTAGACTGGAGTGCAAACCCAGGACCTTCTGCGTGTAAAGCAGACGTGCTAACCGCTACACAATGGAACCACGTCCCAAAGAGAAATACTTCTTAAAGGCAGAATGTAACCTCAACTATCTAGAGTCCTTAGACCATGAGCTATAACAGCGAGATGACTAATACTTTTAACCACCAAAATTTTATTGGTTGGCCAGTTACCATGGGAAAAATAAAATTTGAATACATTAAGTTGCTTCTTTGCAAGAGTCGGTATTGTTTGTTACCTGTTATTCTAATAATAATGAATAGATTAAATGCAGTTCTCATCAAAATCCCAAGAAATTTTTGTGTAACTTGGCAAACTGATTTTTAAAATTTATAGGGGGGTACAAAGGATCAAGAATAGCTATATAACAGTTTTGAAAAACTGGAGGGTTTGACCAATGTGATAACCTGATATCAAAACTTATTATGCTTCAGTAATTAATATAGTAAGGTACAGTAACCAACAGAATAGTAGAAAGTGCAGAAAGTGGCCCATGCATGTGTGGACACTTGTTCTATAACAGAGGTGACACTGCAGATCATTGAGGAAAGGACAGACTTTGGTACATGGTGCTGTGACAGATGGGCGTATGTGGGAAATTGAACTAGGACACAACCTGACTCAGCCTTCTAATCTGAGGGCAAGAAAAGCTTTTTTAAACACAGAAACCACTGACCCTAGAGGAAAATTTTGTAAATCCAACTACCTTATAAAAGAGTGTGAAAAGAATGAAAGGAGATATAAATGCAACCAGCCAAGGACTACTATCCAAAATACATGAAGAATTACTACAAATCAAGAAGGAAAAAAATTCAATAGCTCAGTAGGAAAAAAAGAACAAACAAACGGTGAGAAAAGAGGAAATCTAAATGTCTAAAAGTCCAAAAATCTGCTGAACTTTATTAGTAATGAAGGAAATGCACATTAAAACCATATACAGTCTACAGCCATGCTACCCTGAACAAACCCGATCCTGTCTGATCTCGGAAGCTAAGCAGGGTTGGACCTGGTTAGTACTTGGATGGGAGACCACCTAGAAAGACCAGGTGCTGTAGGTGTAAAAAATAAAAAAAATAAAGGATTGTAAGCTGATAAGGTCCTTATGTATATACATATACACACACAAACACATAAGAGAATGGTATAAATTAAAATGTCAGACAAAGTCAAGAGTTAATGGTGCAGAGCAGAATAAACTCTTTATAAACAACTGGCGTGCCATATATTGGTTTAAACATTTTGGAAAACTCTTAAGACATTACCTAGCAAAGTTGAAAATATGTTGTCCTAGGTCCCAGTGGTTCTCTTTCTAAGTATGTTCCCTAAAGAAGTTCTTTCTAAGTATGTTCACTAAAGAAGTTGTGTGAGCATCAGGATAATGAATATTCATAGCAGCATTGTTCACGAGTCAAAAACTGGAAACAACCTAAATGTCTGTAATCAATTAGATAAGTTTTGGTGCATTCCTACAGCAATGAAAATGAACAGACTACAGCCACACAGAACTACTGTGTTGAGCCAGAGAAGCAAGTAACAGACAAACTTACATTGTGATTTTATTTGCATATGTCAGAAACTGGCAAAACTGGGTCTATTGTATAGGGTTACAGGGCCACTGCATTGCCTGTCTGGAGGGGGCACCATTTCATCATATTCTTTGTGGGTGGTGCTTCAGAAGTTGTGAACCTGTGACCCTATAAAGATCTATACCTAGGTAGTAATGCTGTGAAGAAATGCAGCATTATCATAACAGAATAATGGTTATCTCCAGGGGAAAGGAAGGAAATTAAGATCAGAGCAGGTCACCTGGGGGCTTCTTGGATAATGGCAATCATGATCTGAGTGCTGGTTTTACAGATGTTCACTTTATTCTTAAAACTATATTTGTTGTTTTATTTATTTTTGAATGTACATAGAAAATATATTTTAGAAAAGCAAGAGTAAGAGACTCATGAGTAAAGTATATGTTGCTTAAATTTAGTATATGAACTTTGTAGCATTAATTTTGGCTACTGGGGATTTGGGGTGGGTTGATTTTTCTTTTGCCTTTTATCTCTGCTGTGTTCTTTCTAGGTAAGGTTACTGGATTAATAAGTCCTGGACAGAAGAGGCAGTACATACAGAGTTTTTAGTTCTGGTCCTCCCCATTTTGATTACTACTTGGACGTTAATAATCAAATCCTCACTAGGCATTTATATTCCATGTCTGAAAGCCTAAGCTTTTTATACTTTAGTGTATGCACGTGCGCGCAAACACACCCGCCACCCCATGGGTAATTTGGTACATATCGAAAAACCGAAATTAAGAGACCTGGACTCCTCATTTTATCTCACCTTAACTTGGTCTCTAACTTTGGGCAAGGGACTGAACTTCTCACTTGAGTTTCTTAATTGGTAACAAGATTTTAGTAGCATTCTCTCCCAGCTCCACAAAGTCACAAGGCCATTGTGAGAAAACCAAATGAGGCAGTATGTGTGAAGATGCTTTGAAAATTGTAAAATAATATGAATATAAGATGATTTAAACTCAGAATTTTGTTTTCACATTAGTCATTTACTTCAGGTCCCTGACAGTGGTCCCCCTTTATATTTGGGGGTTATACCCAAAGACCCCCAGTGGGTGCCTGAAACCCTGGAGAGTATTGACTCCGATATGTACTGTGTTTTTCCTACACACATATATTTTCACTCAAAGGAAGCACGTTATGGCTTATCTTTGGCATGTTTGAATTACCAGCATCACTATTCTTGTGCTTTGGGGCCATTATTAAGTAAAATAAGAGTCACTTAACTACAACAAGCACTGCAATAGCATGACAGTCTGACAATC